AATTTCTAGCATTCACTTTTATTTTTAAAGCTTTTTTAAGTATAAATGTTTCAAAACTTTAAATACATTCTATTTTGTGCTCACAATAATTAAATATACTGTAAAGTATAACATATACTGATGTTTCCAAATAACTTTTATTTTTATCATGGGATTATAGACTCTAAATATTTGTAGAGGAAAATGCTTCTGGTATCTTGTAGGAAGAATGTCATATTTTCAGACATGCTAATGGGGAACAATCACAACATCAGGAGATGAATTTGCTCAGTCCAGCATCAAAAAGAGATAGATGGTGCTCTCCCTTCTTTAACCTATCCAAGGTAGCAATTGTTTTGATGCCAATGTGAATTCTACAAGAGAATATGTTAATAAATTAATTGACTTAAAAGTAAGTGCTAATGTTACATCTTTTTATAAGAAAATAAATTCGCCATAGAATAGAGTAATGAAAGCAACTAACTTAATCCTGTCTTGTGATGTTTCAAATTCTATTTTAACATCCTTTACTTTTAATTTTCTTTTTCCATTTAAAATAGCAGTCGTGGGTTCTGCTTTACTGTTACATGCATAAAATAAAATAAACATTGATATATAATTATTAACTTATTCAAGAGTAATGTCTCACCTTTAATTTCAGCATAAAAACCTGGATTTACAGATCCATCAACAAGCCTTTTTAAATGATAATCTCAGAAGGTCAGTAACAATCTTGAAATCACAAAATAGACATAAAAGAAAACAGAAGACTTACCCTGGAATATAGTTGCAGCAGGGTATGACAGAAGGCACATTTTGATGACAGTATTCGGTGTTCTGTCCCAGCATCAGGTTCTTTCTGTGAGTAGATGAAAGTCTTAGACAGGTGTGTGTGTGTGTGTGTGTGTGTGTGTGTGTGGGTGTGTGTGTGTGTGTGTGTGTGTGTGGGTGTGTGTGTGTGTGTGTGTGTGTGTGGGTGTGTGTGTGTGTGTGTGTGTGTGTGGGTGTGTGTGTGTGTGTGTGTGTGTGTGTCTGTGTGTGTGTATGTGTGTGTGTGCTAGAAGCCTTGAAAGGTGAAAAAAGGCCCTGACAAACACATCTAAACACACCAGTGTATTTCTTAATAGAAACAATTCCTTTTACAGCCTCAATATTTCTAGTAGAATAAGCATTCACCACCCTAAAGATTCTAAATAAAAAAATGTGCCCTTTTGAAAGGTAGACATCAAATTCATTTTTTAAGGTTTGTATTTAGCTTTTCACCAAAAATGTAGCTTTGGTGGCTTTTGAATCCTTTTCAAGTCATGAAACCTTAGAGAGAAACTAAACACAGAAATATCAGATCACGGCCTACCTCTTTTTGTCCTTGAGAATTCCCTTTCCAAGTAGTGCCTTAAATAGTGAGGCTGTGTCAGAACTCTCAGTTCTGCTGGAAGTTACTAAATCAGCAGAAAGGCCGACAATAATGGCACATGAAATCTAAGTTTTGTATAGGAAACAGACAGGCAGTCTATACTTTGTTATTCTCTTGATAGACAGCCATTTTGACAGCTCTAACCTTGGAAACCACAGGCCCTGCTGAGCTCAGCAGGAGTCAAACGCTGAGTACCATCTGTCAGAGCTTTAGTCCCCCTCCTTCTCCACGCCTTTACTATAAGATGCTAACAAGAATACTGAACAAAGTTGCTAACTACAGTCAAACTTGTGCAGACTGTCACACTGAGGCTCGGGTAAAGCATTCACTCTCAGAATCTACTAAATTTGAGTGGACTGAACTGGTTATTGTGTTCTTTCTTAATAGTCACACAGAAGAAAATGTAGGTTGAAGAATCTAGTAGTCACATTCCAAGTAACGAATACCTCCAACTATGAAAGCTTCACATCACTCTGTATGGCTTTGCCAACTCTGTACCTAAAGTGATGGATGATTTGGAAAGTTATTAATACATACAAAAACAAAAATCCTTTTTTTCCAAAAGAGAGATTCTGATGAGTTAAGCAATTCATAAAAGAAATCTCATTCAGAATGCACATTCTCCCTCTCCCTCGAAAAGTCAATTCTAAAAATCCAGCAGGCTTATAATAATGAAATCAATGAAATCAAGAGTGTTATTGCTCCTGGGGCTTTCGTGTGGAGGATGGTGTATCAACTAAAAACATAGTCCACTGACTACTATCAAAATGTGGCATAGATTTTGGAAGTACAATAATATTTGGAATCACATTTCAAATTTTTACATATGTCATGAATAATTCTTGATGTTTTAAAAGTCCTTAAGCATAAAGTACCATTTCTAGCACAAATAATTCTTTCAAAACTTTAAAGAAGATTCTTAAACATCCAGAATCACAAAATGACAGAAAGTTAAGAATTTAAAAGGTAAGAAATGGAAGTCTTTTTTGCGTAATTATTCCAAGTTTTAATTCTCAGTTTTTCTTTGAAAAGAGTAATGTGCTCCATTTTGATGTTTTCACCAATATTTTGACAACTATCCCAAATGCTGAAAGAATATTTAAAATACTGCATGCCATGAGAAATAGGTTATATTTACTATATAACATATTATAGCAAATGATTATTTAATGGTTAATCATATTGTCAAGAAGATATTGTGATGAGTTTTAAAAAGTAATACATTTGGCTGGGTGTGGTGGCACATGCCTTTAATCCCCACCTAGGAAGGCGGTGGCAGGCAGATCTCTGCGAGATGGAGGTCAACCTGGTCTACATAATAATTTCCAGGTGGGCTGGGACTAGGGAGACTCTGTCAAAACGAACAAACAACCCCCTCCCCAAACAAAACAATAACAAAATAAATATATTTGTATCACACATATCTGTTATGTTCTATATATTTCTGAATGTGATATGTTTGAAAAAGCCCTTATATGTAAACATTTAAAAGTATTTATGCAAAAATGTCTTGTAATAAATTGCATATCCAGAAGGTGATTTGTAATTAAAGTGACATTTGCAATGTCAATACTGGCTAAGTAGTTTCTACTAAACTCACATATAGGCACACTTACACACGAAGGCATTTGGAAGAAATCCAAGTAGATTATTTGAGTTGAGGTTTTGCTTTGTCTTGAGTCTCTCCACACTTGTTCTTCCTACTACGAGAGGGCCGACCTCACTTAGAAAGCTGCAGCTGTTGGTAGGCAGGGCCCTCATTCTGTGCACACTACACCTCCCCTGGCATTCTGATACCTGAAGTCTTTCTCTAGGGGTTAGAATACAACTTTCACAACATAGAGGGAAGATTCAAAGGTAAATGCTGTGGAGAGAGAAGGCATGTGGACTTACATGAGTCTAGCTGACAGTTATACTAGAGCAAACCAGAAGCAGAGGCACACAGGAGGGGAGACATGTCCAGTTGGAGAAGGGGTGGAGAGAAGGGGACCACGAACTTGGACATTTTCAGGAGTATCTTACAGTAGCCTTGCTTTGCATCAGGCCTATGCAGACTCTGTGCCCATTAATACTATCACCATCTCAGAGTTCAGCAGATGCAAAGGTTATTAAGTCATGCCTTTCATTTTAGAGGTGAAGAAATTGAGAACTGTACAAGTCTACACTGTAGTGGATTTTAAAGTCATTTTCAATAAGGTTCAACAGTATTTTAAGCCCTCCAAAGCAGCTGTTTTTATAATTTAACTTAATAAAGCAATAATAGCAATGTATAATAACTGTACTGTTCTGATATAGATGGAACAGCTAAAAACTAACTAAGGAATGGGCAGCAGGGTCTGCGCTCATGTCTCCTGATTCCTAGGGCAGGTAATATCAGCAGAGCTATGACAACTTAAAATGCAACAGATATCTGTTACTTGATGTGTGTACACCCAAAATTATATTGCCTCAGGGTTGTGTGAAGGTGCCATCTAAAATCGCACCCTGCTGGAAGGCCAGCAGCCTTCTGGGGTAGCAGTCTGGAAGAAGACTCACCCTCAGCGAGCTGTTCCTTTACCATCTAGACAAGAAAGTGCAGAAAGCCCCATGTTCCTCCGGGATACTTTCTATTTTACTTTGTAACTGTGCACAGAACCGTATAGATGTGAGACCCAATATTTGGTTTACTCCACATAAGACATCAAGATAGACACTATTTCAAAGAGGTTGGATGTTGCAGGTTCTAGTCTCCTCATCTGTAAAATGGGGGGAAAGGGTGTCTTACTGACTTCAGAGGACTTAATGAACAATGCTGATGAGGCTTTTTGAGTGAGGGCTCAGTAATTGCAATTTGTTTTTGCTGTAAAATTTGTTATTACTATGCATGAGGTTCAGAGCCAGATTTAATGATTTATGGTAACTTTAGTCCTCATGATTACTATATTTGTCTTCACTCCCTTTTGTAACATTTATTTTCTTTTGTGGAAATAATTTAGTAACTACTGAAAGTTGAAAATCACTTGTATTTTATTTTTCTTGTTATAAAATGGTAAATTTATACATACTTTCCATTTTTAAGAAATGTATCTAATTTTACACAGTTGGAATTATAGTATAATATGATTTTTTTATTCATTATTTTTTTATTTTACGTGTATGAGTGTCTTGCCTGCCTGTGAATAGTGAACCTGTGTCATGCAAAGGCCATGGAGGTCAGAAGAGGGCATCAGATCCTGTGGAACTGCAGTTACAGATGGTTGTTAGTCGCCATGTGGGTGCTGAGAATTGAACCCAGGTCCTCTGCAAGAGTAGTCAGTGCTCTTAACTGCTGAGCTGTCCCTCCAGCTCCAGTGCAATATGATTTTATAACTTGTCTTTCCTCTTTTCATTATATCAGGATTTTTTTTAATTTTCAAATTTTATTTTCAAGTTTTTTTTTATTTAAAATTTTTTTTACAATTAAAGTTACAGTTTTAACAATATGCAAAATATTACATTAATTCAGATTTTTGGCATAATGATTACAGATTTGATAAATACATTTTATATCTCATAATAGCAATGAGGATTATACAAAAGCTATTAAAACAATTATGAGAATAAATTCTATTGTCACTTAAGTATCTAAAGCTATTTTCCTTTGCGTTCTTCCAGAATGATTTGTTCTTATTCT